TTCTTAAATAAACAAACAAATAAACAAAAGAGCACGCTACACAAACGAACTGTCGTTCATACTACCCCAGACCCTCAAAGCTCCGCGTCACAATCGGTGTTGGAGCGGGACACCGCCAACACACCTCGCAAGCTTCGCCGGCGACACTTATCTTCATTACGACGCTCCTAACACGAGCGATGTCCACATTTCAACTAAGTACGCCGTACTCTGCCCTACCCCCTCCATCTCTACGTACAGCAATCCCAGAACCTCTCGTCCTATTGAGAACTCCAAATGGCCGCTTCCTGGATGGCAAGAGAAACAGCCCCACCGGCTGCGTCAGAAACGAGCGTTATGGAATATATAACATCTACTCGTAAAAAGCGACACTCGACGACAGGCCACCGCGAACACCCACCATTTCCACACCGAGAAATCGCGCGCAGCGCCACCGCGCGGGCATCACCCTCCCCTACCTACTATACATATACATATCCGCTCCGCGCGCGTGGACCAGGACCCATTCCGCGTGTAATGACTTCTAATTAGCCAGCGCCCCTCATACACTCCAAATCTCTCTTCTGCCTCCGGGGAGTTCTTTGTTCTATTTCAACGACTCGGTTTCCTCGTTATCTGCCTAACTTTACTCATCTGTTAATATTTTTTCATCTCTGTGCTTAGCAATCTATCCTTCGAGGTAGGTGGCGAGTTAAAAGCAAGCCCCTTATTTTCAGCACCTACATCCTTCCACGTACAAGTGGTTCTGTACGTAGCCGTACGCAGTACACTAAAGTTAGGCGTGTGTGTTTGTGTGTGCGGGCGTGTGTGCGAGAGAGAGAGATAGAAAACGGGAGAGAGAAGGGGATAGAGAGGTCGCCCCATCGAAGTCATGATAGCAGTGTAAAGGGGGCAGCAGTGGCCCTATACTTATTTGTACCTTTCTCTACTATAGTGCAGGATACGAGCAAAGCACACGAAGCACTAATTCGCAACGAAAAGGTTGGCCCGATTTGGCTAGTGGCAATCTCCTGATGACAAGTGCACGAGCATGAAAGTACTCCGCGATGAAACTCATCTCAGTGCTACGGTCTCACTTGCCAGAACTCACGTGTAGTATTTTACTGCGTAGTATCGGTTGCCAGAACTCACGTGTAGTATTTTACTGCGTGTAAGCAGAGTGCTCGAGTTAAAGAGTGTGCGTTAACGGAACGCGTGTCTTGCGACCGACACTTAACCAGTACGTGAATGTGTGAATAGAGCACCAGAGTTGAGATTATTAACAGTGCATGAGTGTTAATAAAAAAGAGAGTGGTTATAGACGCGAAGAGATGTACCAGCAGACCAGAAGACGTATAGCGAGAAAGCAAATGACATTCGTATAGAAAGTAAATGGCGACTTAAGGGGCGAGCGCCCGTGACGATTATTGCAGGGTGCCGTGTCATTATTAAGGGGGTGGTTGTGTCGATAGAGATGTGGCAGAAAGGTGTGGGCTATACCGACCTGGCGCGAGCATGCCAAGACGTACAGCAAATACGGCTGCACAAGACGTGCAGCAAATACGGCGTGCCTCTGATAGACCACGAAGCTGAGACCCTCTACACATTGACGCAAGATGCGCGAGACGTGAGGTAGTCGATGTACAGTATAGATGGGCAAAGTATAAGCGTTGGGAGCTGTCAACCAGTGAGATTACCGCTTGATTAACTCTGCCGCCAGCATTGTTAAGCTTGGCTCCGTGAAATGTAACTGGCTCAAAACGAAGGTAATATATTGCGTCGTCCTTGATACAATTAAAATATGCACTTTGTCAATAAAGGCTCTCTGAACAACGCCATAAACCGCTCTTCCCTGTTGTTCAAATTCAGGACCCCCTAAAGTATGTGAGAGCGATGCTATGACGTCAGCTTTTGTACTCTTCGTGCAACAGCCAAGAAAGAAGGTGGCCCTTCGACCCGTTGGAAAGGTCTATACGAGCAATCGAATACTTTCAACTTTGAGTCCTAGAGTAGTTTAAAAAAAAAAAATCTTTTCTCGTTCTCCAAGTACCACGCAGCCACACCAAGCACATTGTTGAGGCTCCATACCATTGCTGGGAATGATTCAGTTAGGTTAGTATAACTTCTAAACATGTGACGCAACCATCACGTCCTGGAAGCGGCAGCTCCTATAGACAGAGACCTAAAAACCAGCTAACAGATGTACGAGCGGGCAACATCTTGCAAGCGTAACCTCAATCACGCCTCGTTCTATTCTACTCTCCTCGAGTACAAAGCTGGATTCCCGGTACCAGGCAGCTTTTCTGGCTAACTCGAAAACGACCGAAGCTACTTGCCAAAAGAAAAAAAGACGTTTGCACTCTGAACGTGAGAAACAAAAAAAAAACTGTGAGGCTCGTTAGAGGTGAGACCACGGCGTACATGACCTAGTAGAACAAACGCTTCTCAAGAGACAGAGAGAGTGAATTCGCGAAGATCCGGGCATAACATCGTAGAGCAGAGCCGAGGCAGTCGGGAGCGGTCGGCACGCCAGCAATGCGGCCGGTGAGGACGATGACGTCGTCGAGGCGTCAGCTTTAAATCGAACGATGGCGTGTCTTCCGCGACGCCGGGGCGAGACGAGAGAGCCACAATAGGGCGGTAGGAAAGAGGGCACAAACGCGAAGAGCGATAGTTACGTACGTAGACGTGGCTGAAGGGGGCGCGGCGAACGTTTTGGCGCGATCTCCGGCCTTCGAGCCATGGATGCGCCCATCCGTCAACCACCGCCGCACGCATAGGCCCGACTCGGAAGACGTGGGCGAGCGCTGTGTATGCAATGCACAGACTACGAAATCGGATACTGTGACAGCCCTTCAAAAGATAAGTGAGTAATATCGAATATTGGGCATCAATAAGATCTTATCCATTCTATGGTAAGCCCCGGTTGCATTCGCTGTTGGTCCAGGAATGTATCCACCCTTTAGGGCCTTAAAAAAACTGCACCATTCGATATTGAGGATTAATACGAATATTCGTCATGGATGCTCGAAAGCACGGGTACTGATGAGCCACAAGATGGACGCTGAAGGGTACGTAAAGCAGCTACATGCTCAATGATGCACTAGACGTTGATGTTTACTGATGTTATTGTTATATTGTTTATCGTCTTCTCTTTACTTATGATACCCACCCCTCATGTAATGTCCCTCGGGACCCTTGAGGTACCAATAAATAAAAATAAAATAAAAAAGACGCAAGTTGTCCGGGACGCATACACAAGAGAACGCATTCAGGTAAGACGTTCGATATCCATGACGGTAGTCGGGCGACTGTCGATGATTAACACGGGTAAGGTTCAGCCACGTACCAGACGAACGTTGCGGACGATGCATTCGTATTCTGCCGAGCGGAAGGGCCAAGTCAAGCAACCGGGACGGACATCCAGACCACACATGGATAGTCACCGTAAACATACAAACGCAGGGCGGATTCGGAGGACAGTATACTTGGATGACCACGGATGAGCTTCATCTAAAAGACGCACGCTGTAAGACGACGCCTGCTCCGCGATACGACATCCGGGACCGATACGCTAGCGGCACCACATTGTGCGCGTGAACCACTGAACAGATTGAATTCACGAGACTGAACGTTGCAGACGACGCCGTTTTCCCGTGCTTCTGCCGCTGCAAAGGCGAGAAGACGTGAGGTACCCGGGACCGCGCTAAAGACAGGAGCACGTTCGAGAAGCGAAGGACGGCTGTAGGAGACGCCATTTCTGCGGCCCGTGCATGCGAAGAGAACCCCGACGCCGTCTGGAAAACTGCAGAAGTGCGAGTGTGGTCTGTGGGGCGAGATCGAGGGAGGCCCGTAGCAGCCGACGCTAGCAGCAGCAGCAGCAGGCCGGCATACATAACTCCCGCGCTTTCTCGGGAGACAGACAGACAGACACCGCCGAAATCCGGTCTCCATCCCACGCGCGACGAGGGTTCCGCGCCAGACCGGACGGCGCCTTCGACCTTGAAGGGTGCCGCGTCAAGGTCAGCGGCACACGTGTTCGGCAAACGCCGAAAAAGTGGCGGCGGTTATTGGCGTTGCGGAAGGGGGGGGGGGGGGGGGGACAACGAATCCACGCTCTACCACACTCTTTGTCAGTCCAGCATACGGTTTTAAGAATCTATGTCGGCTAGAATGAATGCCCAGTTGCTGAAAGCCGGCTACGACAAAACGTCGCTAAGAAAAAAGCACAACGTGACGTCGTTAAAGGCGACACAGCGATGATAAGGGATTCATGACGCTTCAAGAGATTCACAATGTCGTGAATACAAAAAGAACAAAATTAAGGTAACTCTTAACATCCTTTATGGAGACACAGCTTCGTCAGGGAAGCTATACAACGCTTCAAGGGCAGGCACCCCAACGCTTCGCTTCGGTGCGGGCAGGTAAAGCTACCTGCCCGCACCGAATCCTCGAAGGATTCGGTGCGGGCAGGTAGCTTTACCTTTCTGGTTCGGTTTCTCCTTTGCTGTTTTTCAGTGCCTTTGTATTTGTGCTTCTTGTTTTTGGTTTTCTTACTCATGTTCTGCTCTTGTGCCATGGTCACTGTCTCCTCTATATATTTTTCGTGCTCTGCGCAATAAACTCAGTTGGAAGTTAGCGCTCGTGTCTTTCGTGTCCTTCTTGTCTCTGTGTCGTCGTTTTTGTTCTCGCGCTATAACTATCATCATGCCATACCAACTAGCCCAAGCTGCCACACTTCTGAATCACAACGCCTGATGTGTTGCATAAACATGAAGTGTTGTGACTCCTTTGAGCCACACTTCAATGAAGTCAACATTTCAAATGAGTCACAATGCTTAACAGAGTCATAACAGTTTAAGGGAGTCGCAACGCATCGAACGAATCACAACGAATCTAGTATTGTAAATGACTTGAAGTGCTGTGACTCCCTTGGATCAAGACTCCAGTGGATCGAAACAACGCTTCGAAGGAGTTAAAAAGGAGTCGCTTCCAAAGCTGGCGACTGCAGAAACACTGACCTGATCCGGCGTGGAGGAACTGTCGGTGCTGTTGTGGCCCGTGGTGTCGGGGTTGTGGTGACCGCGGCCCCCCGCGCCTCCCCCGCCTCCCCCGCCTCCCCCTCCGCCTCCTCCGGAGCCCCCCGAGCCCCCGCCGCTGCTGTTGTGGTTGTTGTTGTTGTCGCCCAGGTCCCCGGGCTTGCTGTCGCGCTCGTCTATCACTAGGTCGATGGGCATCTTGCCCTTCAGACAGCTGATGTACCGCTGGCAGAAGTTGTCGCACAGCTCGTGCACCTGCGAAGAACCAATGTGAAAGCGTTCAGCTTGTTGTAATCACCCAACACACATTGCCGATCACTTTAAAAATGAAGTCACTAAAAAAATTCCCAATGTCAAGTGATTAAAAACAGTCTCCTAAGCTTAAGGACTTCCAAAACCGGCACTATCAGAGTGAATACAAGTGCTTGGGCAAAGGCGTGAAATATAAGTTTTTTCCACAACAGCTTTCAGTCTGCATTCACAAATCTAAAAAAAAAACAGCTCGTTGTCTGAAGACAAAACAATGGACGCAATTGTGGTGGTAGAAAATACACTAATACACACTATCGGCAAACTATTCAGCATATACCTGTCGCACAGAAAGGTATCTTTGTGCATTTTATCAGTCTCAAACAGAGATCATATTACCTCTTCATTACCATTAGAAGCAGCTCAGTCGTGTGTGGCACACATTGAAAGGTATACCACGTCGTGGGGGCCACATGCGGATGGGCCATTCATATATTGCTTCAAGAACGAGTGCATTACGTAGACAAAGACAGCTAATACTTGCATCACACAGTCACGTTTGATAGCGATCAGGCCTGAATCCGGACGAAATTCATTGATCGTGATTGGCTTCTTTAAGCAAGCTGCAGCAGGCAGCCAATCACTTTCAAGTAAGTCCCCCCCAATCACGATCAGCGGAGCGCCATGTGACAATGGTGTAAGACGCGGCCCGATCAGCCATTTTGACGCCCGTATACGCTAACTGGCAATGCGTCGCGTACCGACCCTTTTAATGCGAAGCTCTCAAACGCACTGCACCAGTAAAAAAAAAAGAAATAAAACCCAAAGAACACATCGGTCGGAGAAAAACTTTGTCCCGACAGAGAGCGCTCCGACTGAGCGAAGGCGAAAAACGCAAAAAACCAATGCGCACTGCATTAGCCCAATCGCGTAAGCACGGAGCAAAAAGACAAGAGACATCATCAGGCACACTGAGGGTCAGGTACACGGGAGGCTCTAAAGAGGTACCGATAGCGGCGATTCGATTGTAGGCGCAAGAACCGGAACATGATAAGGCCCCGGCAAGCGAGCTCACGGGGAAAACATCGAAGCAGTATGGACACCTCCCATAAAAGCAACACGTCGCCGAAAACGCTTTATAAAGAAGAAGCACCGACAGCGTTCCGCGTACATCCAAAGACAAATAATACTAATTCAAAAATGTATTCTCGCAATATCACACACAACGCACACACACAATCGTTTATCTTATCAGCTCCTTCTTTATTTATTCCAGTCCTCACGGCCACTTCGACGCCTTTCGCCGGTGAAATACATTACCATAAATAAACCGAATTAAATAAAAAAACAAAAAGGTATAGATAACAACCCTAAATACAGACCTCTCTTTTCATGTACCCATTTAAATCGACGATAGCCTACCTCCTCCCCTCCCTTCCCCCCCCCCAAATCAATCCACAACTCCCTCAACACACAAACAAAAACAGAAAGGCATGTATATATATACTGGTCGCATTTATTTTAGATTGGCAAAGCGCGTTAGAAAGTACCCCCCCCCCTCGCACCGCACCCCCCCCCCTGGTAGTCTTACTTAGATATTCCGAAACATCGCCTCGGGATACCAGGTGTATACACCAGTTATCGCGTAGAGCACTCATCGACCATTACGCTCGAGCTGCCGGTATGGAAGAAGGCAGATTGAAGGCTCCGAGGAGGAAGATGGAGACTCAGTTCTTTACCTCATCTACTATTCCGGAGAAATCCACTCGGCGCCTCGCGTTCCTCCACGTACAATTGCATATCGCGGGCATAAGCGAGTGTGTCACACGGGCCGGGGCTTTCAAAGCGCCCTCTCAAGCCTGGAACCCCCAACTACACGCCATGCAGGGCAGTGAAGACTACGCTACAGGGATAGCGAGAGCCCGTCATGTAGAGAAGAAGCATAGACTCTCCTATAAATACACTAGAAAGGACTACGGCGCGAGTGTCTACGGGAGCTGAAACGCATGACACTTCAGGCAGCATGGGAATGATGGATTGTCTTCGTACTTTCGGCTCTGTTTGGCTTCGCGTGACTTGAAACTATACCTTGTCACGAAAAAAAAAAAAGTTTAGGAGTTGCGCTTCACCACGTTAACCTTCTTTAGGCTCAACAATATTAAATCGGGTCACGAAGTTAAAAAAAAAACGGTTCGTTCTTAAATTCCAAACAAAACCAAATCACGGGAATGAACAATGCCACGAGTCCGTTTGAAGCCCGCAAGCACGAAGGATAGGCAAATCCATGTACTACCCACCACTCCCATGGTCGCTGAACGATCTCAGCGCCAGAGTGCCCCAGAGTTAACTTTAGGCAACTCTATGTAGAGAAGAGCCGCGGTGCGTGTTATTCTGGAAAAGCGTATGATTGATGATGATTGATTTGTGGGGTTTAACGTCCCAAAACCACCATTAGATTATGAGAGACGCCGTAGTGGAGGGCTCCGGAAATTTCGACCACCTGGGGTTCTTTAACGTGCACCCAAATCTGAGCACACGGGCCTACGACATTTCCGCCTCCATCGGAAATGCAGCCGCCGCAGCCGGGAATCGAACCCGCGACCTGCGGGTCAGCAGCCGAGTCACTAGTCAGCAACCTTAGCCACTAGACCACCGCGGCGGGGCAAATTCTGGAAAAGCGGAGACAGGCGAATCTGACCACGTGAGCTACTGGCAACTCTGAGATTCTGTATTACTTTCACCGAAAATTTATTGCATTTAGTAAAAAGAAAGCAGTCGAAATTTAAAGGGCTCGTCTTTTTCTTAATCAGATACAATATTCGTGAGAACTAACTGACAATGAAGCCAAATATATTATAAAGGGATGTTATTAGCAGTAGTGGTAATGCAAATGTGAAGAAAAGTGGACGAAAAGATAACTCGTTGCTAGCAGGAAGCGAAACTTGCGACCTTCGAATGACGAGTCCGATGCTCTATACCAACTGAGCTACAGCGGCGGCCATCCCTCTGTCCACTTTATGGGGTATATGCTCGTGTATCTGCATTTCAACCTGGGAGTGTTAATCGGCGCAGCTATAGTGGCTATTACGGCGAGTGTGGAACACTTCTTCGTGCGTGTTGTTACGAATTTACCGGACTATTGTCTGCCTAGAACAATGGTTGAGTGCCATTCTATTTCAATCACAATGAAACGTCCAATAAAGGTAACAATATTCATGAGAACTAACCAATGATGTTGAAGGTAACAATATTCATGAGAACTAACCAATGATGTTGAAGGTAACAATATTCATGAGAACTAACCAACAACGATGTTGGCGTCACGTATTACGTGACGCCAACATCATTGTTGGTTAGTTCTCATTAATATTGTTACCTTTATTGGACGTTTCATTGCGATTGAAATAGGATAGCACTCAACCATTGTTCTAGGCAGATAACAGTCCGGTGAATTCGTAATTAAAGACGAATCATGCCAGTGAAACGCCACCTTCCGTTTTAACATTGAACGGAAGCTAGTATGCGTTGGACACAAGAGGGCATCCAATTTCCCTGTTCCGCTGTCCTCCGATTGGTGGACACTATTCACGTAGCCACTTCGCTGTGCTCCGATTGGTTGACACTAATCAGGTAGCCTTGACTGCGCTGCATGGATTGCGCGGCACGGGGCGTTATACAGGTCGCGAATGCGTCAACCTGACGCGTTTCAAGCAGCGACGCACCACCAGAGCGATCAAAGTGAAGAGGACACCTTTAGGCGGCAAGTTCTGAACTAATTAAACAAGCGGAAATAAAAAGAAAGCACAAGGACGGGAGTTGACGACCCCGACTTGATTCCGCGGTGCTAAAATGCAAGGACCTGGTGCGAGCCGGCGTGTCGCAAAGAGAGGACAGCGAGCGGACGGTTGAGAGTGCCTGCTGGAGATGCTTGATACAAAAAAAAAAAAAAAACGTATGCAGCGTACACACACCCTCGGAGTGCTAAGAAACACCTTGGGACAAGAGCGGGGTGAGAGTACAGCTTCGTCGATTTATTTCGATTTCACTCGGCTTGGTACTGGTGCCTCGCTGTAGTTGCGTCTCAAAAGCCTCCGAACTTGAAATCGTGGCGTCCTCGACTCTATACTCAATGTGTAGACAAGTGAATCGTAGAAAGGCGAAAGTACGTCTTCTGCTTCGTTAACAATTTTCTTCCTTTCCTTAATTAAATATTTCAGAGGCCTTGCCCTATTGAGAAAATGGGGGCAGGCAAAGATTGGCTTGTGCATGTCTGATGTGCTACTTTCCTTCCTTTCTCTCTCTCTCTCTCTAACTTTCTTTCTTTCTTTTTTCTTTCTTTTTTTCTTCCATTCTTTCTTTCCTTCTTTCTTTCTTTCATCCTTTCTTTCCTTCCTTCTTTCTATCTTTATTTTTTCTTTCTTTCTTTCAAAGTGCGCAGTTCTGCCACCAAACGTCTCCCTTCCTACACACCGGGAGTAAGATATCCACCCAGGTGGTTGACAGCGCAACCCTCCAGATGCTGCATGCAACAACGATGGCTACGCGTTCATATCCAGGCTACAAATGAAACGTGGCAACGCGAAACGACCAGTCAATTAAAAGCACCTCGATAAAACACCAGATTGTCACATCACGTGCGACTGATCGCCTACAAGAACACAACCAAGAGAAAATTAGTTACTGAAAAATTTTGCGCACAAACACGCACGGGACCGGAGCAACTTTGAGGGCCTCAGCCGCATTTGTAAACACCGACGGCCTCTATATTTTTGATGATGTAGGTCACGTTCAGATTGACTCTTGGCTTCACCTTTCCACGTGTCGGGACGGTTTTGTGCTCTCCCATAGTAGGGTACTAGGTACTCTGAATCGTTAAACATTTTTGTAACACAAGTGTGATCAGTATTCTGATGAAGGCCAGACTCTATAGGCCGAACGTCTAAGTAAACCACGTGTTGTGACCGCTCACGGAGGATCTACTTGACTACTTCCAACGTTACGGCCAC